TCATAAAGGCTTAGTCATGTCTCTTGACCAAGCAATGAGCTGGTGCCCTGACAGAGATGCATCTGATAACTGGCCAGCTCCATGGGGTGGGGAAGGGACAAGCAGGTATGATGCAGTGCACTCGGTCCAGCTGGAGTGGTAAGGGCTGAATGCAGCTCCACATTAACCCATGGAGGACAGAGTGTTCACTGGTCTATTCTCCATGTTTCCAGGCCCCCAACTAAAACATGCAGTTTCCTCATGGCACCTGAACAAGTACTTCCCAACAGAGGAAGCTGTGAAAGGAGGCTTTGGAGAGTGCAAAGCTTTCCAAGACAATGAAACTCTCCACTGAGTAGACAGGTGATGACTTGGTCCTGCTATGATTGGTGAGCCTAATGCCCTGCAGGGCTAATGACTTTCCTCTTGCAAACACAAGGCAGCTTATCCCCTCAGACTGACCAGGGCACTTTTTGTGGAGCTAGGAGAGGGCAGTTCAGCAACCTGGCAAACCCAACAAGTTAACACCGACTGAGCGGAGGAAGGGTCAATTTCATGCATGCTTGTGCATTGCTTGATGCCTGGGCATGCAGGCACAGGCCAGTCCTGTGTGCAGGGGGTGGGTGGCACGCGGTGAGTTTGTTTCCGTGACGCGTAGCAGCCTTCAGGGGCGAACCACAGATTGAATCCCACGTCCAGCCATTGCCCCCAAGCCAAAGCAGCTCACCATATACGTCAAGGTGAGTAATCAAGATCCGCTGAGGGTTGTCATTCGACGACAGGCTACCGGGGACGACGTTAAGAACGCTGTCTCTGTACAAGTGGAACGGAAACGCGCAAGCTTTGATCTCTACGGGGTATGTCCAGAGTTTGCAAACAAGTATCACCAATGACTCATCTTCCTGCACATCCTCAGATCAATCCTCCTTTACCGTACTTGACGCCCGACCACGAGATTGAAGAGAACGACGGTGTGGGCCAAGTGATTCTGTCACATCGAGTGGTCGACCTCTTCCAGCTCGGCGCTCCCAAGGTGGTGAACAATGAAAAGATATATTTCTATGCAAAGTTGCACAATGAAGGTAAGTCTATGGTTGGAACGCGGCTTCAAAATGTCGCTGAACACTGATGCTTGGTGTCACGTCTCAGAAGGGACCATTCCCTTGAAGAGGCTCCTTCGGGAAGACGACGAACGAGAATCAAAGCGAAGGCGCCTAGAAAGCAGAGAGAAACAGCGAATGGCCGTAAATCAAGGTGTGAGCTTCTGCACTTCGAACAACCCTGTTAACGGATATTGGTGACGTATCTCATTAGCACACGACCGACTCAAGAAGCTTATTGATGAAAGCCCTGCACCGTCAAGGGTCGCAAAGAAGGGCAGCAACCCTAGTCCTCAGCTATTAGAAGAACTCTTGGACGATCATCCCTATTCCGGCATACCGGTCGCTGTCTTCAATGAAGTTCTTCTGGAGTTGCAAACGAAACTCGCCAGCAGGCCGGCTGACTTCAAACCCACCGAGAATGAGCAGGAGGCAGCCTCTTTACTCCTGATGGCCGCAAGACCCAGATACCTTATCGAAGAACCAGCGGGAACCGGCGACACTTGCCCGACTCGACGTGGGGCGATGGAGCCGCATCTCCATCGCTTGATTGGCCAGTTCCACCGAGTCTCAAACACAGACAAGACGGCCGCCGACGGTTCCTACGTAGTCCGTGTTTTCGGAGACGAATCCTCTTTGTGGCCAGCGGCGATGTACGAGTATAAGAACTCCATCTCATCATCGCAAACAGAGCCACATTTGCAGCTGGCGCTAATCCTCTGCAAGAAATGGGGAAGCAATGAGGTGAGGAAGGTTTTCTGCTGTAGACTTCCATCGGGTGATTGATTGCCTCTTTCAAATCTGCTCAGTCAGCCGATGTTATCAAGTGTAGCGCATGTCCTACGATCCTATTGGTCATCCCAGGCTATCAGGTCGATGTACAAGCCATGATCGTCGTAGGACGCCCGGTCGTCCAGAAGCTCATCAATCCCCTCGCCCTCGACCGTGCTCTTACTGAAGAGTATGTTCAAGAAGTGTGCTGGATCTTTAAGTGCATACGGGCAGGGATTGAAGGCCTGACAAGTTATTATCGCCGCCTACGGAAAGTCGACCAGCCGTCGGACGAAGCTTTTTTCCCCGTCTACACTGAACTGCCCATCAGCAAGGGTTTGACAACCCAAACGGCGCAGATCTAGTACCACTAATGGCTAGAGGTGAACCGATCTAGCTTCTCTCGAGCCGTTTTCTCAGGAAGCCTCACTGCATGGGATCAAGAACGTGAAGACTGCGTTATCAAGTTCGTGGTTGATTATGGCATCGCGGTGCAACAGCACGTCGCTGAAGTTGGTGCTGCTCCGAAGATCTACGGCACCAAGCGTCTGTCGCCTTCGCTGCAGATAGTCGTGATAGAGGGAGCATCGATGCTAGACTGGACTGCGCTGACACCGGAACGCCAGGAAAAGATATCCAAACAACTTGCAGACCTGGCAGAAGCACTCGACGCCGGCGGATTCGTCCATGGCGGCATACGTGTTCTACTCACGCGCGAGGATGAAGTCAAGTTGCTTGATTTTGATCTTGCGGGCAAGGAAGGGGAGTCCAGACATCAATCCGGAGATCGAATGGCCCGAAGGGGTAGGAGCTGGCAAGCCCATCAGAAAGTCGCACGACCAAGCCATGATTGAGTTGCTCAAAGGGCCTACGGCACAAGATGCAGGAGGAAAACGTCAGTTGTTTAGCCCCAAAAAGGTAGAGTCGCGAGATTAGCCGAGAGGTGCACGCCGTCTGGGTGCCGACCAGTGTACATACTGTAGTGAATGTTATCATGTCACGCAGAGTGAGCGTAAAACCAGCGGACTGTGCGTATTACGGCGACAGTGCTCTAGGAAGAGTTGTGCGACTTGACCTACACTCGGAAGGGGCCCGGCGCTTCGCCGGCAGGGACCTAGCTCGCATTATGTCAGATGAGGTGCGAACGGTGCGGGATCTAATAATGTTTGTTTGATGCATCTGCCAAAGCAGGATCTAAATTTACCCCGGCGCCCTCAATAAACATACGTCATCTACTGTTTCTTCCACAACTTCTGCTAATCGCCACCATTATAGTATCCCTTTTGAATCACCACCACAATCACGCACATCAAACCATCAAGAACAAATCTATGCGGAACATACCAATCCAAAGAGCGAAACCTGCCCAAACCACCCAGCTATCACATCACTGACGATCAATCAATGCCCCCCTCTCTCCTCCTGATCAAGAGACCATCACCGGTCCGTCGATTGCTTAGTCTATGATCTACCATGCCACGGCCTGCTGCGATAGTTCAAATCCAACTCCTACAGAAGCAGAGTATTGATAGCATGAGTAAGCTATGGTCGGTCTCGGCTACAGGGCCCGGTCTGAGTGCCGGTCGGCTTACGAGTTCAGTACAAAACGTGGCACTGACTTCCAACAAATCGCAGGGAAAATACATTACTTATGGTATTCTCCATATAACATGAACGATCATTGCAATCGGACATTGCAATCGGAGGGAACGGAAATTGGAAAATGCAGCTCCGATCATGGTAGGTATTATTGCTCCCGGAGAAGCGGTGAGTGCTAGTTTTGTGACATCATAGTTCCCAAAAAGAAGTGAATTACACTGTTCTGGAACATCCCAAGTGAGGTCGAAATACCGCTCATCGTACATCTGATTGTGGTATTACTTTGAATGGATACATACCGTACTACTCCGCCACAGTATGACTGCCGGCTCTCTCTGTGTGACGATGGGATACCGAAGGTCGGGTTTTTTCCACGCCTTGGCGAATTGCCTTCATGATGTCCATCCCCCAAGAATACCCGCAGGAGTGCCGTCTTTGCAAATCCAACAATCCTAGGAGTGCTTGCTGATTGCCTCAACTTCACCATGTACGTTCTTAATGTCATAACAGGGTCACCATGTCCCGTCACCCTCGAGAAGTATGCCAAGGATATGGTCGCATTGAGGTACACGGTTAGAGAAAACCCTGGAACGATTTCCTGGCACAAGTACAACAGGACGGCGTTGATGTTACCAAACTCTGCTGTAAGCATCTGGACCATTTCGGCGGTACCCTCTTGTCCAAATTCGTTCCTCGATTCGCAAGTCGCATGGGGTATTCTGCCACATCTTTCAGTGGTCTCCCATTGGGTGGGTACCGTTTAAGAAATAAATCACGAATCGCGGAACAAACTCGCATTCGTCCGTTCTCTGGGTAAGCAAGCCCAGTATGCAATAGGACAGATGCCGTCGCTAGGACGTGCCGTTTCAACGACGGCATCATGGCTGGTGGCGATTCGATCTGTGCTCAATTGGGTAAAAGGCAAAGGACTGGGATTATTGGCTGGACGTGGCGCTCATTCGTTATCAACCTCGAGTCGAGAGAAAGTCGAATCGAGGCTTCCAGGCCGTGCAATCGCCCCGTGCCAGTAGCCTTGACCAGATTGAAAGCTTCCCGCTCAGACGCAGCCAACAGGACAGACGGAGCCAGGTCTTTCCCTTGCAGTGCCATCAGATGAATCGCGAGCGGCAGTCCATCCAGTCTCTCGAGGAGCTCGTTCAATGTGTCATCCATCTTCTTCGAAATATTCACCCATATCTGGCGCGCAGCTTGAAGAGGAAGCTTCTGAAGCGGAACCAGCGCGTTCCAGTTCAATCCCTCCGGCGCCTGCGTTCCTCTCATTGTAATGACCACTGACAGCGAGGAAACTCGGTTGAAACGGCCAAGCAATTCCCCAAGACGTTGCCTGTCTGATTGTGCCGTAGTCTCTAGACTGTCTAGTACGAGGAGCACACGACCGAGGGAAGCAAGGTGGGCGAGCAAGGCTGTCCTTGTGTTCGGATCGCGTGGAACCTTGAAGAATCCTGCTAGTGCGCTTATCAGAGCTTCTCCGGAATGAATGGCTTCACAGCCAAGAAAGTAGATATGTCGTCCGTTTCGCTCCTTGACCTGCTCGTCATTGATGGCCGCAACTGCAACAGATGTCTTCCCGATTCCGCCTGGGCTGTGCAGAGGCACACGGCAAGGGTTGTCCTGAAGCAGGAGCTGGATGATCGACTCCACCACTTCTTCTCTGCTGCAAAACGCGTTCGACGTAGTGGGAATATCGATCAGGGAAGGACTAGTTCGCCGTCAGGCGGGGAGCGACGATGTTGTACAACACTCGACATACCCTTGTTGAGCGAGCGATCCAACGGCCGTGTCGAGCAATAGAACAGTATGAATCTCCCGGTTCAAGTTTAAGTACCGGAGCGCACGCATGCCGCCGGCTTTACTCGCCAAGCAGCGTAGCCAGAGAACATCGAGGCTCTCATGATACTTCCATATCTTCTGCCTTCTGGTGCAAATATCCCAACGCGTTCGTTTCGGGCGGAAACGCAGAAATTTGTCGATCTCTGATACTTTCCTGCGCAGCCATAGTGAGAGTCGAGGTCTACAATGCGACGCAAGGGCGTACTTAGCAAGTACTTCAATGATCGCATCTACCCTCTCGTCCGCTGTGCCGTCAGGCGGGACACGATCGAGGATCTCTTGAATCAACCAGGCAGTCCACCGCTAATCGCTTGCCGTCATCCCGAAGTTCTTCAATTATCTGATGGAGGGTCAACTTGTCGAATATAGTACGGTATGTAAAGGGAAAGAGGACCTCAGTGATGTCAGCAACTTTTACGACTGTGTCCTTCAGCTTCTTGACCGGCGCTAGAGGTGAGGTCACGCTAGCAGTCCACCGCTCCCATGACTCTCGGAAAGACACCACGGAGCCGCTCTCAGACATTCGAAAAGGTGTTAGAAATCAAGAGGGAAACCATGCTGACGATCCCAACAAAGACAGAGAGCAGTGAAGGGAAGTGATGCGGAGTATCGCATAGTCGTCCATACAACCCGGTAGGGGACTTACCAGAGCGGAAGTATTTGCGGAAGCAAATGCGCTGCAAATGCGTGCTGTAGAACTACATCCAATCTCTATCGGTGACATCCACCCAAGCCGTCTGCTGCTGCTCATCGTGAGCGACTCGGGGTTGGTAGACTTATACCCTGGCTCCATATTATCCTTCTGGGCAGCCTCAGCACGGTGGTTACGCGTCTGGATACGTACCTGCCTGGGGAGGTTCTGTTTGGACATCCACTGCTGACTCATCACCTCTGAGTCAGCACCTGGGGACGTAGTCAGCGCCAAGTACTCGCTGACTCGTCTGGGACCCTAGCTAGCCTTGGGAACTCCTCGGCAGTCCCTCGTTGTCTTCGTGCATCTACTACTGGCATTCCGCATATTGCCAAACGTCACCTAGTCGGCTACACCTTACTACGCCATTTCCCTTATCAGATTATGAGCCCTGCCGACTATTCGACTACGATGTCTACCTCTGATTTCAAGGATCTGAAGATCAAGCAGCTCCGTGACGATGGCTCGAATTGGACGACATGGAAGGACATCATCACTACTGCCTTCCAACGTCGCCGGCTTATGCGCCACCTCAACGGCACTGCCAAACGTCCCTGCATCTATGTCGAAGCCAATGGCAAGTATTTTGAAAAGCTCGAAGAAGCTGTACCAGCCACGACTACCACGACAACGTCTACGCCCACACCAGTACCAGTACCAACACGTCAGCAATCCTCCGATGAGACGGAGAGAGCAGAACGGGGTCTGGGACTAGAGTTGACTGAGGCAAAGGCGAAGGAGCGGGATGAGCAACTCGACATCTATGATGCGAACGAAGCGACCATTCGGGAAGATCCATCGGAACAGCGACGATGAGTTGTTCTTTTTCAGGCTACTGGGTGTGGTCTGACAGGACTTTCATGAGGTCGTGCACCTATAGTAAGACGTTATGTGCACCTGAGATGATCTGACACGCAGCCTACGTGCATCGGTACAGCATCTCTGTGTACGGCTACGGTTTGAGCAAGAAGGACACTGTGCATGACGTTCAGTGTTGGGCTCTGGCAATGGCTGTAGGAGAATACTCACCTTATACTGCCCGTTCGGAGTAGTCCATGCATGCAGAGGCATCTCTATCCCGCCACTTTTCCTGGCAGCTCACATATATCACCATAGTTCTTGTTCAACCCCGTGTTCCCCACCGTTGTTCCAGCAATAGCAGCGCACGATCTCTCCAGCATGTGCCATGAAACCGCTCGTCACTCCATGCCCCTCCTTCTTCTCCCCAGAGCGGCAGCGCTCGCATTGTTGATCCGCCCCTCTTCGTTCCGTAGGTGAGAGACGAGGGCCGATATGAAAAGGATAACTGATGTCTGGATGGGTGAGGGAGAATGTCTTCTCGCGTGCCAGAGACTGACTGCCGCTAAACGAGAGGGCCCAGGAGCGCTTTGTTTGGCAGAGAATGGCGGCAGAAGGAGGGGCATAGACGCACACAACTGTGCTTGATGCATAGGAGTGTGATTGTTGTGCGAGAGGGTCGATTGTGTCCTGTGCTGGCAAAGCGCTGTTCGTCTGCTAGTGTCCTTTGTGAATAGGCATACATCCAACAGATAGTTATATCTCAAATTCACCTTCCGATCTGGTCCTACAATACCGCAGCATTGGAGCTCAGTCCTCACTCGTCCTGTGCACCGACTCCATCTGCATATATGTTGCATCAATGGAAATTCATCGTGATTGTGTGAAGAACGAGGCGAAAAGCATAGTAAATGTGAAAGTGTACTAGAGGGACCACAATAGGAAGCGCCCTGACGTGTCATATATCTTTACTATTCATGACGAGTGCTTTGAGTGCTTGGAGATAGAGAGATGATGATATGACTGCAGGGGAAAATGATTCGGTTACTGCTGGGCAGTAGGAGGCTGGCCAACCTAGGTAGGCGCCGTGCTGCAGGAGGGCGATGAGGTAAGATGATGGAAGGAGAGATGATGAGCAGGGATTGAGTAGGTAGAGTGACTCAGAGAGTGCATATGGCAGTTGCTTGAGGTACATGGCCAAGATGCCTATCCCTGGTGGGTACCCTGGTCAACTCGGGATAAGGCAATAAGTAATAGTACGAACAAGTTACTCACATAGGTGACTACAATGCCTGCGGGGGTGAAGCAGCTGTTTCATTTTATTCCAGACTGCGGTTCCATACAAATACCTTGTATCATCCTTGTACAACAATGGTTCTAGGCTGGAGATGATCATCGAATTGTTCTGCTGCTTCCTGTGCGTTCAAACATGTGTCCAGCGACATAACGTCATCAGAGTGAAAAAAGGCAGCGGCGGCGAGATGGAAACGAGCTCTTGTCCTGGGTCCCACCAGACCAGTTGCGTTAATTGTCCAACGGACGGCTTCCACTCATTCCCGGCCCGACTTACCAGATGGATCTGAGTTGTTTTGTCCATAGTGCTCCATGGACACAATGATATTCACCTCTTGTTTAATTTGTCTTCCTTATATAAAATGGTGATAGAATTCGTTGTTCTGAACGACATTACAAGGACTGTGTTCTTGTTCAACAAGTAGAGCACGCATGACCGCCTGCACCACAAGAAGACACCTTCTTTGCCTCGCCTGCACAGCAATCCGGTCAGCAAGAATCTCTCTGTTCATTCTCCTTGCATGTCCCACAGGATCTGGCCTAAGTGATCCTTGTTCATCTGATGTCTTCACCACCGTGGGATGAACTCACCTGAGCCGGTCGCCGCCCGGATCGGAGTTCACGGGTGCAGCATTTGTCCGTAGGTCTTGCTTCTGAGTGACAACATCCCTTTCAGATACTGTCAGTCCCAGATTTTTCGCCATCATCCAGAGGGAGTGCACACCTCGTCCTGTACATGCTGGGTACTGCAATCCCCGCATCGACATGCCTTAGAGGTCCTGCACTCCTCCCGCTTCTCGCAGCAGTCGCATATATCTCGATATTGTTCGCTCATCTCTCCCTCTCTTCTCCCTCCCTCCAACCGCGGCGGCGCGCAGTCCCTGCAGCATCCACCATCAAACTGTTCACCCCTTGCCCAGCTGACCATCCCCCACCCTTCTCTCCCAAACAGCAGTCCCAGCACCAAACTCGTCGCGCTGTCTACCCACCATCCGCCTTCCCACAGCCGATAAATCAAGGATCCTACAAACAGGACGACTGTTATCTGGATGCACGAGAGCGAGCATGTGGCTTCGCCTGCCATGGTGCTGCTGTTCAGTGCACGAGCGAGATATCGTTTTGGCAGCCAGATGAGGACCATAAGTACAAGCGCAGAGACAGAAATGATGAGGGATGCATTGGATGCATCGGGGTGAGAACGTAGTGCAAGGAAGGCGATAGCGCTCGCCTCGGTTGCGAGCGCAAGCAGTAGAAGCAAGATACCGATCGTGAGCGTGCCGATGCGCTCCAACCTGCTCTGCTATCAGTCAATATAATCAATGAAGAGCTTTCAAACGCACCTGAGAGATCGTGGATCGAGTTCATCCCTCCTCTCCTCTCCAGGCATCGCTACCTTGCAAAAACACCAGATGACGATGCATGCGCTTGCGACCTCGATGCCACCCTAGATACCGAAGAAGACGAGGGATCGTGAGGCGGACTCAGCCCCGAAACCGATGGATATGCCGCCTTCTGCACCATTGTATACAATGCTCACAATGGAGATGATTATTGCATACTGCTGGAGGCGCTGATAGGTAAGCATGGTGGCGATGAGCTTACGTTCCGGTGAGGTCCAGTCATGGTGAACTCCCGGAGCCAAGCTGAAACGGTCGCACGTGAATTTTGGTGCCCAAGATTATTTCCCACAATCATTTCCTTAACGGTCCTCACTCATCAACGCAATAAAAAGCTAGATCTTTGATTTCTTCGTAAGAAAAAGGAACGTGATACACTCGACAACCTGTCTACTATGGATAGGATAGATTGCAAAGCGAAGGGATAAGGAGCTGCTGGATTATGCGTATCTTCAATTGAGACGCACACCAGCGAACACTTGTGTTATCAAGCCACCCAAGTAAGAATGCCCTTCGGCCACTTCCGAACACCGTATTTGCGGCACTCGTCAATCAAGAGCTGAGAGGACGTGAGCGACACGACCCTGGCAAGTTGATAGGAAACTCACAATACCAATACCGAACGCAAGTGGAAGGAAGTAGACCGCTTTTGCATGCCCAATAAGCAGATCGCCAACTGTTCGTTCGACTGGTATTCGTATATTTCCTGCAGCTGTTAGGCGATCACCAATGATGAAGCCGATGCTCGCATCCCACAATCGGATTGTTCCTTCTTGTGATCCTGAAACGATTCTCGAGTTATCATCAGAAAAGGCGATTTTGGTCACGTCATCGGTATCTCCGCCGAAGAGCTGGCCAATGAACTCGCCATTCGTCATACTCTATAGCTTCAATGTGCCGTCATGAGACTCGGAAACCATCCACGAACCGTCATGGGAAAGGGCGATGCAGTCAGTCTTGTTCTTGTCCTCGGGCAAGGAACGGTGGATTGTTGCACCCCTTGCAACATCCCATAAGCAGGTTGCTCCATCGTTGTAAACAGCTGCTATTCACATAGCATCTCTGGATAAAGCTAGGTAGGAAATTCGGGGATTATTGGATACAATCTTGGTTATGACTTCCCCCGTCTCTGTGTTCCACACCGTGAGCGTCATCATGGTGAACGCTACCTACGAGAGTCCGGCCGCCATTGTGCGACAAATTGTGCTACAAGGTTTTACCGGAAGCTGCGCCGGACGACCAGCCAACGCCTCGCCGATACTCTTTCCAGACGCCGCGTCCCATATTGTAAGCAAGATACCCCCGAAAGGGGTCATCCGAGGAATTCCCATCTTCCCCGATGCATCCGTCGTTCTCGCATCGCCACTCGTCCGTTGAACACCACTCTTCCACCATACCTTCTGCCAACTTGGCTTTGGCCTGGGAGCAGTATTGTAACCGGACACAATGAGCGAGCCCATCTCGCGACGATACATGACAGCAGCGCATCCCAGGACAACTCCGATATCCGACGTTTACGACGACCAGCTGCGTCCCTCTCGTCTAGACCTCCTTGGCTGGTGTTCTCCCTTCATTCCCCGTCAACTCGCTTTCGATTTGCAGTACCGCTATCTGAATAAGGGAGGATACGAGGGCAGGGTACGTGCTCACCTTCACCGGGGAGTATCTGGCATTGACGTACATTGTCGGCTTACTCCGAAAATCTGAATAGACGCCGAGTGGATGCCGTTACGACTTAGATATACCAACCTCTATCCCCGCCGATGGCGCCCACGTTAGGGGTAGTCCCACTCACCTCTCACCAGTGAATTTGACCGAGCTCACTCCGTCCCGTGCTCGCCTCGCATCGATGTCTCCTTAGCTACCCGAAATCAAAGGCGGGAAACGCGTCAGATGGACGGCACCCATCGCCGGGGTGAGAGGAATGCAAGAGAGGACGAAGTCAGTGGAGAGTGCCGAGCTGTGGTGGACTCACGGGTGCGCTTGATTCTGTTGTGGGTGAGGGGCTTCGCTGATAAGCTGCAGGCTTCTTGAGGGGCCTGTCGACTCTGGTGCCGACCGCCGTCCTGACGACTCACCGACTGATTTTGGCTAGGTCAATGCATCGGAACTCAGACAACAGCGGGCGATCACCGCCCACTATCTCCAGCCCATCACCCACCACCTCCAGCTCATCACCCACCTCCTTTGGCCCATCGCTCTCCTCCCTGTGGTCATGATATGCCCGTCGGCGCCGGTAGATATCTCCCTGTTGAACACCCTTTCTGCGGCGTCTCATCCATCCATTTCGTCCCGGTCCCCTTCGCTGTCATTCGCCACACACTGCTCCCGTCACCCCTCTCCTCCACCCGCGTCCTCGCCTCACCAACAGCGCAGCCTGTTTCCTTTCCACCACTACTTCCACGCTCACTCAACTTTGTCCGCCCATCTCTTCGCACAACTCATTCGGAGGCTTGTCGAGATGTTCGCCCCCTTCTTTCCCCCGTCCGGCCTGGACCTACTGGGTACAAATCATGGTCCACAGGGACGAACACTGCGTATTCCCTCCCTGCTCATTGAGCGAACCACGAAGTGTTTGCCGACGGTCCGTCTCTTCTCCTTTTTGGGGAAGGGGGAGGGGGGCCGCAAACCCAAGCGTTTGGCTCGACTTCAACAAGTCAGTCTCAGTCAGCGTCACCAACAGCATCGTAGACTCGCTTCCCACGTTCGAGCCACGAGCTCAGCACGTCACCGCTGCACTCGATCAAGCCATTCCACGCTGGCGTTCTGCGTCGCGCGCTTTCAGGTACACGTGCGCGCACCACCTGCACTTGCTTCACGCTCGATGAACGTTATCGACCCGTCTGTCCTCTCCGCATCTAGTACCCTCCCTCACAGCCATCTCCCGATCACTCTTTAATCGCCCCGCTCTTCTCCGTGGGTCAGGCCAGTACATGCATCACCCAGCGAAGTTCTGGAGAAAACGAGGAAGCTGCTCCAAGCAGGGTCGACCCTGAATGATGCATCTTCGAGCTTCCAAGAGTGGGGGAGGATGGGACTATGGTCGGTGTTGGACAAGCGCATGGGCAGGTTTTGGCGAGCGTCGGCGGGATTGGGCGAGGGTACGGTGGATGCGTCCTCGACTTGTGTCAGGGGAGACTGGGGTGACCTTTGGTGCTGCCGGGTAAACAATCCAATCGTTACCGCTGGTCATGGAAGTAGACGGCTTGATGTACCGTGACGCATGGGCAGGAGAGCGGGCCGAGAGTCGACAAATGCAGGAAGCGAGCGACGTCGAAATCGCAAGATATGCACAATGGTCTGAAGATTTCGCAAAGGGGCTGAGCATGGCATCGACAGTAATGTGAGGGAGAGTTTGGTCACCTTTGCCACGGAGAAGCTAGTCGGCGCCTCAAATGAAACAGGCTACAATGAAGGTCAAAGGCTGGCGATTTTAGCGCGACGGATCCCACTCGATATTCGTACAAATACAGGTGCAGCCCTCCAGTTGATGAATCAGCAGATTGCTCAGCACATGCGTGTGCTCTATGGAATCACCGATAATAACGAAACTCTTTTCACTGGCTCTCCGAGCGAGCCAATCATCTCAGGGTACCAAGCCTGCAATGCGCAAGAATTTTAGGAGGCGCTCTGCGGTGTTTTTATTAATAACTCTGCCGGGATCAGTGTGGGTGAACGAGGGGAGAGGGTGGCTGAACTCCTTATTATTCTCGCCAGCGATGCTGCCACTAGAGATGGCAAATTTTCGATACCTAGCTTCGTGAAGTGCCTGCTTACCAATACCTCCTGGCAGAAGCTCCAGAATTCGAAGGCATCACGTGGTCGATTTTTCCATACCAAGAATTTTCAAGAGACATTTGAGAACTCATTCGGAAACTTTAATCACACCATCAAGATCTATGGGAACGTCCCAGGGTTGAAGTCATGGCTTCAGTATCTTACGAGACGTGTCGCAATTTCCGCGCAGTTCGGGCAACAGGGTATAGACGCTGCTTTCCCCTACACTATCGATGGGACGATGATTGCACCGGATAACACCAGCACCATGTTTCTCCAAACTAGGTCTCGAGTTGGTATGCAAAAGCCCTCTGAGAAATTGTTCGAGGACATGGATCGCATTGTCCAGCAAATGCACGGCTCTGGGGACACCAATTTGAACCCTACACGGCCGGGACTCAAACCTGTCATATGAATGATCTTCTCACTGAAATCTCACGAGAAGGAAGTGACAGTGATGGAATACAAAGATTATGACAATGACATGCTGGTGTGGGACATCTATGTGCCTTCCTCGGCCCTTAAAGCTGTTCAGCAGAACTCCTATGTGTGGCACTCTGCGCTGACAATGGAGTTAAATGCTGGGAGGATATTCTTTGGTGACAAGGTCCGGATGGGGATGGCCCCTGCAGCGAAGGAAAGCGACGAGTTTTGGCCAAATTGGGGGCCAATGGAGGAGCAAACGACTGGGGATGGTAGCGAGGCGAAAGCGAAAGGGAAGGCGTCCAGCAAGAGGCGAAGGAGGAACACAGGCTAAATGAGTAGGAGAGTACTACAAGCTGAGAACAATGTTGCCAAATGTACCATCGAACGACGCGAGTGCTCTGACCGCTTTTCACCACACTCAATCATATAGCAGCTTAATATGTAACAGAACATTTTATTGCCAGCGTTGGGAGAATAACAATTCTCGCGCCATGCTATGATCCAGAGAATCCGCCTATGTCTTTCTTCGCCTGCAGTAAGATGTCGATTCCGTGACAGAGGGTCATGATGCGCATGTGAGCGTCAGTTTTGTGTGCCTCAACCGCATTGTAGATCTGTGTGAAAGACTGCCAGGGTGATGACCGTTCATCTTCCCAGTATAAAGTTCCCAACCTACTGCGGATCCATACTTCTTGTCTTGACATGGACATCTAGCTTATATGAGCTCTTGCCACACCCAAGAGACAGTACAAGGACACACAATCATCATGGGTCACCGACCCTACTCGCCCTCCTGCTCCCTGATCTCGCGCTCCAGCCTCTCCCTCTCAGCGCGCCTCATTCGAGCTAGCGTAAGGCTCTCGTATTAATCCAGTCCTTAGTCAGCAAAGTCGAAGTTCGGCAGGCTCGGTGCATCCATCTTCTGAGCGTCGGTTAGCCAAGGTCCTGTTGGGGCCAGCAGAGACGTACCGGTTTGGATGTCTCTTCGAGCGCCTTCGCCACCCATGCAGGCTCGCCAGCAGCCCATTCTATTTTCACTCCCTCCAGTCCCAGATCTCGCCTCCCACCAGCCTGGCTCACCGCTAGAGCCCCTCGTTTGGTCAAGAACTGGACGACAGCAGTTCCACCTTTCTTCTTCCCTTCCTTCTCTTTCTTGGATGGTTTTGGAGGGCGCAGGAGGAAGGACGACGTGTCGATAGGTCCAAGCGAGGAGAGGGAATCCGGGAGGGAAGAAGCGGTGGGTGGGGGGTAGGGTAGCCATAAGAGGAGCGTGAGCTCCATAGGAGGAATTTTCTTCCCGTCCAGCTCGTCTATATCTACGTTCACCGGGGTTGGAAGTTCCTGTCTCTTCATAGCAGCTTCATGTGCTTCCTCACCTCGTCTCTGTGCCTCTTCCCGCATCCTCTGACTTTGTGCTTTGACCCGTTCCTCCTCCTCCCTCTTCTTCCTCTCTTCTGCCAGACCATCAACCTTGAAGCGTTTTGCTGCCATTTCTGCGCGCTCGAGTTCTTCCAACATTGTGCGTTTCTTTTCTGAGGATGTGGCTAGTTGTGCTGCTCGTGCTCGCTGAGCAGCGAGGGATGTGACGAGGGCACTGCGTTGGGTGGGGTCGAGGAGAAGGTTGTACGCCTGTGTCAGAGCGTGGAATAGTGTTGCGGCTTCAGGTGATGGATTCTGCACCATGTCAAACAAATCAATGAGGATACAATTTGATTGGCAGTTGAAGGTGCGCACCTTGTCGGGATGCACCTTGAGCGATGTGACCTTGTAGGCTCGACGAATTTGCTCCAATGTGCTTTCCGGCGTGATGCCTAGCTGCTCATAAGGATCTTTTTGTAGTGTGTATGAAAGGTACGAGGGCGAGTAGGAAGAGTGTTGCAGATGGTCGCATCATTTCAAGGTGTGTACGTCCTATAGCTGAGGTCCATGTCGTTTACACAATCGCAAGCAAGCACCACTCGAGCAAGCACCTCTATGAATAAATACAAAACCCGAACAAATCATGAACAAAGCGAACGAAACCGAAACGGACCCAGCATCCCATGCACAATTTCTAAACCGACTCGACTCGACTCATCTCTTCCATAGAGCGATATGACAGCGGAAGTGTGCGCGGTGAGGTTGCATGTGTCGCCGTGCGTTCTAAACTTGAGATCCAGTAGGCGCTGCTGCGTGGGTAGCTTCGTCATTGTCTTCTTGCGCGAAGATGGGGTGCAGCGGCGCTCGCAGCTCCCTCGCCAAAAGGCGGAAAGCATCCAGATCGCGAAACATGGCTCTCCTAAATCCCTTCTTCTCGATGCCGCCGCTGGTCACCACCCAATCTCCGCTCCCCTTAAGCCAGCTCCCTTTGCACCTCCTAACGGTCGTCGCGGTTTCTGGGTAATCTCCATGGATTATGGCTCGGCTGAGCTCGTCGGTGACGTCCACAACGTAAAGGGTCGGAGTTGCCCCTCGCATGGTCATGCACGGTACCGACCAGGCGCTCAGAGGATCCAGTCCCATGTCACGCCTCCGTTCGTTATTGTATTGGAAGGCCGCGATGGCCTCGGCGATGACCTGCGGTTCGGGATACTTCAACGGCGTAAAAGGCTTATCTTCGACGGCGATCAACAGCAGCAGCAAGCTCGGATGGATTAAGGCGACATCGGTCTCCGTCGTGACGGCCTTGCCACACATTTCGAATGGGTACCTGAAGTGTTGCACGACAAGCAGTCGCTGCGCATCGAAATGGAGTAGGCGCAGTGTTTCTTGGACAAGGCAGTCCACAGTCGACTCTTGCGGTAAGGTAGTAGCCAGATTGAGGTAATCAAAGTATTTGATAATATCACCGGGCGCACGCTGTACTGCTTCATTGATGTTGTCGATATCGAAGATGAGCGGGGGAATGGCGGCAACTGAGGCTGCGACGTAGTGTTGACCGAAGAAGTCTTCTGGCTCGACCATCAAAACATGGATGTTAAACGCCTCGAGCGTTTGATACGTCCACTCGCTAGGACAGGTGTACTTGCGGCTGAGGTGAGACATCGACAGATAGCATGAGACAGATGCGATTCGACGAAGAGGCAGCGAAACTGGCAGCTGGAGATGATGAGCAGGGGAGGACCGGAGACGCCCGGGGGGAGGGCGCTCCAGTTTTCTGACGGAGGTATTCCACACTCGCGTCATCCGGCCCGTCCCCCGGCCCGCTTACGAAAAGCTGGTGTGTCACCCTCGCTTAGGCGTCAGTCGATCACGGCGAAGGATGGTGGGTTGAAGCTTCCGCAGATAGTAGATAACGGGTCGGGTATACGCGTGCGTCCTTTTTCCGACTTGCACATCACTAGTGGTTAACGTTCATGCTAGAGGGCCGATCTTCCTCTGCTTGCAGCGCGATTCTGCACTTCGAAGCTCTCCACGTTCTCAGATCTATCGAAATTGCAAACGTAGGAGGCACTCGCCAGCATCTCCCATGTTGCACCTTTCAACGTGGACTAGGCACGACTCTTGCGCTTGGAGGTATGAGCTAAATACTGTTTTACTATTCAACACATTTTATATGCCTCCCTAGAGCGAGTTATCCAGATGGGTTACTTGCACCTGCCAAAGCGGGCACTTCTGCTGACCCTAAGCCCTGCGCTGGTAACGATGGAACGACGATCGCCGTTTGTTTCTCCTGTATCCAGATCGACAAAGCTGACTCTGACGAAGGTCGAGATCTCTTCTACACCCCTTCGACTAAGGGCACTCAAATCTCCTTCTGATGAATATGCGCATATCCTGGACGTAGTCCAAAGATATGCTATTCACCACCCCAGCCTCTCCTTCCTGTGCAAGAGAGTATGAGTTCTTACCGTCTTCCTCTATTGGTATTGAACTCGACTTACCAGACTGGATCAAACACTGCCGATGTCTCGACTCCCTCCTCGGGGACGGTCAAGTCCGCCATCAAGACCATCTATGACCCAAGCGTTGCGAAAGAGCTGCTAGAGGCGCAGGCGGAAGCTAGACCCAAGGACGAATTCGAGTGGCAAGCCGAAGCATGGTTCACAAGCGCCAACTATCATGCCAAGAAACCCACGTTCTTGTTGTTTATCAACCGTGCGTGATTGGCGGCCTTCAGAGTGGATGTATGCTTACTTTCGGCTAGATAGAAGTGGTGAGAGCGCGAGAGTGAAGAAAGCAGTTGAGGCCGTGTACAGTGGCATCCTGCCAAAAGGCGCATGTTCATCTATCGGAGGTGTGTTGGCACGCATACATTCGTCCAAGCAGCTCGGTCTGACGTTCCGGGCCAGTCTGGATAACGATCCAAGCAAAGTCAACGTCAACGTCCATCCTACGAAACGAGAAGTCCATTTCCTGGATGAAGAAGCTATCACTGAGAAGGTAGCGGATTCTATGCAGGCAGTGTTAGCGGCGAATGACCAATCAAGAACCTTTCAATACCAGGTGAGGTTTATTCTTCGCAATCCAGTGATGGTTCTCATCGTCTCGATAGACTGTTCTCACCGGTCACAGTCCTTTCAAGTCACAGGGCAAGATGAAGCGCAGTGACCTGCGAAAAGAGCGGATCGCCGCTGGGTTTGACGAGGACATGGAGAGAGAAGACGAACTCGAAGATGAGGAGAATGAGCAAGACCTGGACCTGGAACGGCCCAGGGCTGGGCCGTCCTCCTCTCCGAAGCCGTTCCGCAAACCCTCTCAACCGTCGTACAAGAAAGTCCGGAATGACCTTGAGACGAGAACCTTGGACTCGATGTTCCCCGTTCTCCAAAGCAGCTCGGAATCTCAGCGGGCACAGCCAAATATGGAAATTGAGAAGAAAGAAAAAGCACCTGCTGTCTCCGAGAGTCAATTGTCTTTTGACTAGTGTGCGGGAGCTGAGGGCGACAGTGAAGAAAGGGAAGCATTTGCGTGTGTACTTACCTTGAGTGCCAGTGACACAGCTGATTGGGACAGATCTGGCGAGGATCATTGACCGCATCGACGAGTCTGTGCCTCTCGCTCGTTCAATCATCCACCAAAGTATTGCTGATCAATCACGAGGCTCTCACGTACGTGTCACTCCAGTTTCCAATTCCGTTGGCTTATTTGGTCACAGCGAGGAGCTTTTCTATCAGCTCGGGCTGATGTAATTCTGAAACATTGGGAAGCTGACTCTTGAGCCTGCGCCGAGTTTGGAGGAGCTCGTTAAGCTCGCTGTGGATGCGGAGGCGGCTATCACAGAGCAGGCGCTGAACCCCGGAAAGATCATTAAGGTGCGTCCCGCAGTGTGTCAACCACCACTCAATCTAACTGGCGCTGCTGCAGTCCATTCTCAAGACCATCATGGCCCAAAGAGCCATGCTGGCAGAATATTTCTCGCTCGAGATCACCTCATCTGGTGAGATGTCTACACTCCCACTCCTCCTGCCCGGATACACGCCAAACCTCGACCGTCTCCCACTCTTCCTCATGCGTCTCGCGCCACAAGTGAATTGGACGTCGGAATCCGAATGCTGCTCTACGTTCCTACAGTCCCTGGTTCTGTTGTACGAGAGAAGGAAGCCCCTGCCCCGGAAGAGCAAGAGGAAGGGAAGAGGAAAAGCGAGGAGTGGCAGATCGGGCATGGGCTATTTCCCGCGTTCAGGAAGTATCTCGTACCTCCTCGAGGGCGAGAGGGACGTGGTGCAGGTTGCAGAGTTGAAAGACTGGTACAGGGTGTTTGAGCGATGTTAGATTTCTCTTTGCGTTTTCATTAGGTCTCCTAATTCCTGTGTCGAATCCTCATTA